GTCCCTGTGCTTTGCCAAGCTTGTTCCAAGTAGGTGCTTTAGACCACTGAGCCATCTCACCAGCCCCATAACCTGAACTTTAAAGGTTGCAAAAAACAAAACAAAACAAAACAAAACAAAACAAAACAAAACAAAACAACCTCTGGAAGGGCAGCAGAGAAACATCCGCACCATGCTCTGTGAGCTCCTGATACCATCTCTGCCCCTGGAATTCTGTGAGAGAGAATGGTTCTAGAGGACTCTAGTACATAGGATATCCCAGGAAGCTAGAGCACGAGGGTAGCCAAGAGAGCAGTGCACACAGGAAGCCCTCTGAGGCAGGCAGAGCTGGTGAGTGCCGAGGAGGCGATGGGAAGTATTATCTGTGAAAGTTTGCAGCTATCAGCTCTGGCTTGGCGACTCAGAAACACTCCGTTGAAGGCCAACTTGTCAACAGGCTCCTGTGGGAAGAGAGACCAGGTGGGGGAAAGGACAGGAGATAGGATGAGGAGGACCTCCCTTGGCAGGACCTCTCTGCATCCACAAGGCCAGAAAGACACAGTCCCTGAGGCTGCAAAAGTAGGGTGCAGACAGCCTGTGGGTATGACTTCCTGCATGAGGCCCCAGGAGGGAGACACAGGATGAGCAATTAGGAAAGGGGAGGAGATAGAGCCGGGTTTCTCCTGTGGGTGCTGGGAGCAGAGGATATCAGAGGACCCATGTGGCCTTGGAGGGTAAGAGCAGAGAAGAGTGAGGGACAGTGGAGGGGCCCATAGTCAGCACACAGGGACAGGGATAAGAGGGGGGAGATGAGACTCTGATGAAATCTGAGGGTCAAAGAGAAGGGTGCAAGGACAAATGTGCACTTCCCAGAGCTGATGTGGAGTGATGCTAGGCTGGGGCGCCTCCTCAGACATCTTTAAATCAGCAACAAGTAGGGCACACAGAAGCCATGAGGGGCGGGCCGGGGAGATGGCTCAGTGGAATAAACGCTTCCTTGGCAAGCACAAAGGCCTGAGTTCAATCCCCTGGTTCTACCAAAAAAAAAAAAAAAAAAAAAAACAAACCAGAAGCCATGAGGACTTGGAGTAGAGATTCAAGAGTGGCCATCCTCATGGGCAACAGAGAGCCAGATGGGCGCCCTCACAGGAGAAAGGGCAAGAACCCGTGCACCCAGAGTCATGGAAGGAGAGGCCTTGGGGACTGGAGGGGTCCAGACTGCAAATGTCAGCAGCATTTGGAGGTGAAGGCAGACCCCTGGAGTCAGTCTTACAATACCTGAGGAAGAGGACCAGCTGGTGAGCTCACTGGAGGGGCCATCAAGAGTGGCTGAGCAGGGAAGGTAGAGTTGCCCACTCAGAGACAGGGCTGGTTGAGGTTGGGGTCACTCAGTGGGAAGGGTAGTTTCAAACAGGGGGAATAAACTGGCAGGAGGAGACTGAGGTGGAAGTCACAGTCTCCCTCTCTTCCACCCAGTCTCTAGTCACTCCTAGCACCTGCACTGGTGGGACAGGTCCCATGTTCTAGGCCACACCTTCCCTGCACTATTTCTCTGGGACTTTTCACACAGGCCCACTGCCTTGGCCCTCCTTTTGGGCACAGGGAGACCCAACAGGAGCCAAGCCCTGTGGTGGTGGGCCACAGAAAAGCCGTCAGGCTCGTGCCCTCCTGGCGTGGTGAACTCTTGCCCAGCTCTTGGGCTAGCAGGCTCAGCAGGAACACTTGTCTAAAGCCATTGTCCTTGGTTCCAGCCACCACATGCACACTGCCTTGGGCTCTGCAGTGGGGCTGAGCCTGCCCTGCCTCCTGTCATCCATCCAGGGACGGTCTCCTATTCGGGGGCCTTTGCAGCACCGCGCTGGTGTCAGCCCCCTTCCTGAGCTGCGTGGCTGAGCCATTGGCGGCTGCAAGGCGGGAGTGGGAGGCCCGTATCCTCGGCTTCCTGGAGCTAGGATCTCCATGCTTCCCGGACCCCTTCACCCTATCCACGCCCTGGGCTCCCAGAGCCTGGTCCTGTGTTCGACAGCGCTGCCTGCTGGTCAGCAGAGGTCTCGGTGGAAAGCGAGCTAGATGTTTTTAAAGTTCGCCGCTGTCGGCTCTCCGCATTCTTGATGTGTGAATAAGCGGATAAGGTCGAAAGTGACAGCTCTCCCGACACCGTCCGCCAAGTCCCTCGCCCGCTCGTCCACCCGCGGCGGCCCCTCCCAGGCCCTGCGCCAGACAAATGACCCTCAGTCACAGCCTTTTCACAGACTGAGCGCCCCCAGGATATCGATAAGAACCCCGCAGGGTTCCCCGCCCACTGCGCTAGGGGCATAGGCCAACAGTCCCTCTGTGCAGCTGGACAGTGATGGGCCGGACCTCTGTGCCGCGACATGCCTGGGACCTCTCCCACGCGAGGGCGCGCTGGGCTTGGCAGCGCCCACCCAGGAGCTGGCAGGGGGCGCTGGTGTCAGGCGCGCCAGGGGTCTCCATCCCCATTCATCCACGGACCCTGAGCTAGCACCCTGACCAGATCTGGAGCCATCTCCTAGCGACCCTGTACTCGTGTGAATCCTGCACAGCACCCGCTCCCCAGGGTCCTCTTCGTGACCACCTTGCCCCAGCGTCCTGCAAGTCAGGATCGGGAGCTTCCCCGCTCCTCCTCACCCCCTTTCCGGGTTCTTGAATTTTGGGGTACCATTTGTGGAGGGGGTGGAGCATTAAGAGATTCAGGAGGGACTGTGTGCGGCAGAAGACAGTGGGGCACGATCCCTACCCACTGCGCTCACCCGCCATGGGCTCTGGGGGGCAAGGGAGGAGCGGGCGTTCAGGGAACTCAGCGATCCGCGGACGCCGCCCCGGCCCTTCCCACTGCACTTCCTTCCTTTTCCCGTACGTCCAGGAGGGAGGAGGCCGCGCGTTTATAAGCCAGCCCTGCGGCGGACACAGCAGAGCTGCGCCTCCTCCAGGACCTGAGCCGCGCCCTCCGCTCCACCTCCGCCCGCTAACCCCGGCCCTGCGCGGCATGCTCTGGGTGCTGCTCCTCGGCGTGCTGGCCCTGGCCAGCCTGGGGCTCCCAGCACCAGCGCACCCGCGGCCCAGCGGCAGCCAGTGTGTGGAGCGCGAGTGCTTCGCGCTCTTCCACGGCCCCGCGATCTTCGCCGAAGCCAGCCTAGTCTGCGAGCGCCTGGGCGGGCACCTGATGACCGTGCGCTCCACAGTGGCTGCCGAGGTCATCTCTTTGCTCCTGAGCGGCGACAGCGGCACGAGCCCGAGCCTCTGGATAGGCCTGCAGCGCCCACAGGGCTGTGGGGGACCCGGGCCACTTGGGACCCTACGCGGCTTCCAGTGGGTGACTGGAGACAATCACACCAGTTACAGCAGGTGGGCGAGGCCCGACAGCGACGGTGAAGGTGCGCCCCCCTGCGGCCCTTTGTGCGTCGCCGTTTCGGCTGCAGCTATGGGGACTGGCGACCCCGCCTGGGAAGCGCAGCCCTGTGACACGGAGGTGGCTGGCTTTCTGTGCGAGTTGCACTTCGAAGCCTCCTGCAGGCCTCTGGTGGTGGAGGCCCGTGGGAGCCTCGTCTCTGTCACCTACAGCACCCCATTCGGGGCGCAAGGCGCGGACTTCCAGGCGCTGCCGGTGGGCAGTTTGGCCGAGGTGGCTGTGCTCGGGTTGCAGCTGGAGTGCGCGGCCCAGCCTGAGGATGTGGAGGGGCGCTGGAGGCGAGAGGCGCCGGGTGCCTGGGACTGCACCTTGGAGAACGGCGGGTGCGAGGACAGGTGCGACGAAAGCGCGGGGGCGCCGACCTGTGTCTGCCTCCACCATGCCGTGCTGCAAGCTGACGGGCGCTCTTGTGCCGCCGCCGCCACCGCCACCTCCACCGCCGCCGCCGCCGCCGCCACCGCCGCCGCGCCCTCGTGCAGCAACAGCTCCTGCGAGCACTTCTGCGTGAGTGACCCGGCCGCGCCGGGCTCCTACTCCTGTATGTGCGCCACTGGTTACAAGCTGGCTGCCGACCAGCACTCGTGCGAGGACGTGGACGACTGCGCACAGGTGCCCCACGTGTGCCAGCAGCTCTGCGTCAACACCGACGGTGGCTTCCAGTGCATGTGCGACGCAGGCTTCGAGATGGTGGATGGCGAGTGCGTGGAGCTGCTGGACCCCTGCTACGGGTCGGACTGTGCGTACCAGTGCCAGCCCTTGGGCCCGGACAAGTACGAATGCATCTGCGCCGAAGGCTTCAGGCCCATCCCAGAGGATCCGAGCAACTGCCAGCTGTACTGCAATGAGACCCAGTGCCCCGCTGACTGCGACCCCCACAGCCCAAACTACTGTAACTGCCCCGAAGGCTTCATCCTGGACGAGGGTAACGTGTGCGTGGACATTGACGAGTGCGAGCAGGGCAACTGTGGGCAGCACGAGTGCCACAACTTGCCGGGCAGCTATAAGTGCATCTGCGGGCCTGGCTCCCCACTCGAGGGCCAGGAGAGCCTGGACTGTGACATCCCCCCCACCCGAAAGACAAAAGTGGTGACCTTCGGGGTGGAGGAAGGCTCTGGGGAGGACTTGGACAGCCCCACGCCAGAGCCTTCTCTGAGCACCCCAGCTGCAGGGCCAGTGCATTCCGTCGTGATCATAGGCACGTCCATCGGCACCCTGTCCCTTGTGGTGGCGCTTCTGGCACTCCTTTGTCACCTTCGCAAGAAACGGGGCTCAGCCCCCCGCGGGGACTTGGAATACAAATGTGCAGCCCCCACCTAATCCTTCGCCCTGCAGAAGTTTTGAGGCCCCAGCGTGCAAGAGTGTAGGACTCCCTCCCTGCTGTCTGGCCCCACCCCCACTCCCTAGCTGCTCAGAGGCACCTGGGCTGGCATCTCAAGAAGACCCTCTATCCTCTGCCTGGGAACTCCCAAGGGGTGAAGCCCCCTGTCTGGGCAGATTTACTATGAGGACAGACTGCCAAGCAGCCCAGCCCCCAAGTGTATGCGGGAAGGTTGAGCACACTGGTCCTTAGATTTGAGGGCAGATTCCTACCACAGGGTCGGTGATAACTGAGATATTTATTTTTGTAAGTATTTAGCTCTTTGTGTCTTTCCTTTTCTCCCCTTTTCCTATCTCCAGCGCTCACCTCACGCTCCCCTCCTGTGCTTCCAACACCATATCTCTGCCTATACCTAAGTTCCATCTTGGCTCTCAACTGTGTTCATGCAGAATGGCTATGTGAGAAGACAGAGAGAAAAACACTAAAAATGAAAACAGTTGTACATTTTCCTTTTCCCTAGCTTTGCTAATTTATTTATCCTGAAATTTCAGGCTTCCAGAGCAAAACAGTTTTAACCGAGTTTAATAGGTGGTCATTAAATTAGTGTTGATGGGCTGTCCTAGCAAGCAAACCCGTGGAGTTGTTTTGTCTTTGGTTTATAAATAACGAGTCTGAGTTTTATTCTTGTTTTGATTTGAATGCAAAAGTAGTAATTGTTGTTATGTGTCTTATGCAGTTGCCTTTATTACAGTTCAGTTTCGGCAGTGCAGAAATATTCTAACGCTTGCCCTAGGTTGAGAGAGAAGCAACCCCAGGAGATGGGCCAAGCAAGTTCGAGCTGCCGGCCTCAGGCCAGTTGGACTCTCAGCTGCTCTGTTTACTTGTTCACTTGTGTTCCAAAATAAAAACCCTCCCCTTTTCCTGAGGACTTGGCACTGGGGAGGGGGCCCCACAGGTTGGGCAGTCAGGGCCTTCCTCATTGTGGCCTTGAATGTCTCCCACTTCGGAGGGACCTTCCAGCCCTGGCCACCAGTGTGTGGTCTCTGGCCAGGATTGGAGCCCCCGTGGGAATAGGAGAGGTGGGGAGAATACTGGGCCTCGCTCCATCCAGCTCACCAGGAACTGCAGGGGCTCCTCTGTGCAGTCACGGGAGGACAATTTTTATAGACCATTTCCAGCTTTCTGGAAAACATGAAATATGGGTCAGTAATAAGTAGCGGGCCCAACCAGGCCCTCAATGCTCAAGAAACTGAGGAATTTTCATTGTATAAGTTTGTTCTCTGGTAGAAAAGATTTGGTACACACCACTGGACTCCGCCGCACAGGGTCAAGAAGGGCCTTGGTTGGAGTAAGCTAGGCATGAGTCATGCTCCAGTGAAAGGAAAAACTGTGTCATGTAAGTGTATCTTTGTAAGGCAAAGGTTTTCCTCTACTGTGTTGTAAACTCAGCACATTTGTACATATTATTTATTGGAGTTAAACTAGAACACAGGCAAAACCCTTGCTTATGATGTCACTTGAACAAAATAAACAAATTACAGTGTGCTCATGTGTGCTTTTGCTTGCCTCTGCCTCCTCATTCCTCGTTCTCCGGTAGGGCTCAGGATCCACCATGGCCCGGGCTGCTCTGCTCCCTGAGCCAGGCCAGCACTCCGGGCAACATCTCCAAGTTGCATATCTTTCCAGAGAAGACAGTTTTCATCAGACAGGGAGTTCCTGTTATCTCTGAGCGCACAAATATTTTTCTTTCCATAACCATGACAACTTCATTCATGCTGACTTGTATCTACACGCTCCCAAATACATCCAGGGCTATTTGTTGGGATACAGGAGAAGCATGGTCCTTCCAGGGATATCTTTGGAGGGTGCCAAGTTCAAAGGTCCCAGCACCTGTCTCCAGATCCCCAGGCCTCCTGAAGCATCAGTCCATCCTCTTGCCTCTTTTCAAAACTTCGGTTTCTTGACTTTTTACCCAGAGTGGAACTGGCTGACTTTTACAGGCAGTGCTAAGAATGCTTCCATAAAACAGATGGGAGGAAAAAAAGCTTGATGAGGTAGTCAGATGCATTTGTGCACCTGGAGGAGGCCGAGTCTTCAGTGTGCACCTGAGTGCATGTTGTGGGATGGGAGGAGGCAGATGTTAGGTGCACCTGAGTACATGCTGTGGGATGGGAGGAGGCAGATGTTAGAGACCATGGCAGCACCTGGGGTGAGGTGGACAAGCTTGTGGGGCATGTGTGCAGGGCAGGGATGCTGCTGTACATGGTGGTGGGTGGAAGAGCAGGTGGGGCAGTGTCTCGATCAGGAGTCCCCAAGTCTACACAAAGGAAGCGAAGGGTCAGGGCTGATCAGGAGCAGACCAGTGGTTCTGGGAGTCAGAGGAGCACGATGGTGCCTCAAGGGGGTCCTTGAAGAATTTCAACAGGGAAATGCTGGGACCCCAGTTCTCTGTAAAGGTGGCAGCCACATCTAACTCATGTGCCCCTTGGAGCAGAATCCTGGGGATTCCCTGGCAAGCACTGTGCAGGACTCATAGCAAACACCTATGGTTGACCCTAACCTCATCCACGGTGGTTCTATGACTGCAGGTACTGTGTGACCCTTCAAGGGCTATAAAACAGGGTGCCACCATGCCACCTCACATGCTGTCATGACATGTGAATAGCATGTCACAGACACGTGCTGTTGTCCATGCTCTGATGAATTCCAGATCCACAGTGAGTAAAAAAGATGTCAGGTTGGACCCCAGGGTCCCAGGGACAATACCAAGGCTGTGCAGGAGGTGAGAATTGCCCTCCAAGGCAAGATGGAGTCCCCAGAACAGGACAGTGCTAGCCCTCAGACACCCTGGATGCCGGGATTTGCATAATGGAAGGGTTTGTATAGGGTGAGAAGTACCCTTCATGAGCAATGGCATCCAGCCTTGGAGGTACTGGCTTGCACTCTGTTCTTAGGACCTCTCAAATATAGGGGTGCAGGGCTCCTCTATCCCCTCAGGAGATATAGAGAAGAAGGAGCATCCCCAGAGTGCCATCCACATGATCAGAGCTGGAGGGCAAGCTGGTGGCAGAGGGCTGAGCTCAGGGCTCAGGTGTTTGGCCAGGCTGAGGAGGCCCTGAGTGTGGTACAGACAAGACATGGAAAGGGTGCCTCGCTTCTGGCTTTTAGGGGCTCCCATTGATCCTGTATTAAGTGGGGTGCTTTGTTATGTCAGTGAGGATAAATGCAGATCACAAAGAACATAAAAACAGATCTCGTGCAGGTGGGGGCTCTGTGGGGGCCCACACCATGCTGCCTGACCTCTGCACCTTTCTCCAGAGTAACCCAGGCCCGCCCGTCTCCTTTCCCAGCCTCCTGCCTCTGCAGGCGCCTGCCGGGCCGCCGGCTCTCCCTCTGTTCCAAGTGGGTCTTTCCTCCCTTGTTTCTAGTCTGAAGGCTCAGATGTAGGCAAACAACTGACTTCCTCTCGCAAGAGAAACTAAATATTGTTTTAACATCAGATTTGCACAGAATCAGAGCCCTTGCAGCCTGTTTTGAAAGTCTGATTGCAAAAGACCGAAAGGCCCCAGGGAAGTGTTCGTCTGGGTTCCAACCTGCTGCAGAAGCAGGGCCTTCAGGGTCTGAACAGTTACTCTAGGACTCAGAGCTGGGTTCCGGCAAGGATGCTACCAGTTGGTGCTGACTGGCCAGGCCTTTCCTCAAACCTCGGCATGAAAGAAAGTGCCTGTTAAAGTTGGAAATTTCGCAACTGGTGTTATCCTGCCGTGGAAACCTGCTTCCGGTCTGCATCTTCCACCATGGGCTCTTTTCTCCAGCACGGCCCTCCTGAGATCCCTGCCGGGGCACCCCGGCTTCCCACCTCTGCTCAGCCTGAGCAGAAGAAGGGAGGGCTCTATGGTGTCTGTTAATTCTCCACTCCTGCCCAGCTTGGCACAGGCCCCTGGACAACAGGACCCCACCCTTGGAGCACTCCTTTAACACATGCATCTGGACATGGTGGTATAAATTGCAAGTGCCACTTTTCGCAAGTCTTTGTTTGATTGGACGCTGTCCCCTCCTATCTTTGCCCTCATCCTAAGAGGGGCCTCTGGGGAATCCATGAGTGAAGCAAAGCAGCCTACAACCTGGAACTCAGGCAACAACCACTGGGCAGGGAAGGCTGAAAGGGTTTGGGGGGAAGCTGGGCTCTCTGTTTAGTTTGTTTGCAGTTATCTGGGGCACTGGGTGCACTCATATAAACATAGGACCACTGCAGAGTGGGTGGCGCAGGCCCAGGCCTCTGTGCCCCCTGCAGACTTGGATCTCTGCGGAACATGTTTTGAGGAGCATCCCCCGCTCAGTTAGCAGGAAGGAACAGAGCCCTGGCTGGGGGCGGGGGTGGGGGGGTGGAGGTAGGTGTAGGGAACACTGGTCTGTCTCCAGGGTGCATAGTGAAGACCACAGACCGCGAACAAAGTCAGTCATTTGTTGGAAACACACACCCCCCACCCCTTTCCCCCGTGAGCAAGCAGGCCGCTCACCACTCAGCGCCTTGCTGCTTGGCACAGGGGCAGCCGAGCTAGTGAGATGGAACAGCTTAGAAATTATTCTCCAGGGGGCTGGGGGGATGGCTCAATAGAATAAGCACTTGCCTGGCAAGTGCAAGGGCCTGAGTTCAATTCCCGGTTCCACAAAAAGAAAGAAAGAGAGAGAGAGAGAGAGAGAGAGAGAGAGAGAGAGAGAGAGAGAGAGAGAGAGAGAAATTATTCTCCAAGGCGAGCTTTCCAGAAGCCTGACCACTCTCTGGGGTAGTGGTCTACAGCCATGCAGCACAGCCCCATCCACTTGGAGGGTCTTGAGGTAACCTCTTGGCAGCCAGTGGGACAGGTGCAGATCTCATGATGGTGGAGGACAGCCCTGGGACCGGCCTACCAGGTGCTTTAGGAGGACACAGGTGGTCTTTCAGAGGAGTAGGGGTGGCTACCTGCTTTCTTCCAGGCGTGGAGTAGGGGCACAGGTGTGGCCGCATGTGAGGCACAGTAGCTGTCCCCAAACCCTGGCCCAGTTCCTGCTCTTTCACACTGGACTCTGGGGAAGAACCTTAGGTGGCCAGCTCAGATCACCTCCTCTGTGCCTGATGTGGGTGCTGGGTCTGGGCCCCCTACTGGCCTCTGCTGATGGCACTCTGTGCTGTCCTGGGGGAAATCCTCCAAAGACTCCTGCAGAGGTGTGAGGATGGGCAGGCTACTGATAGCCACACTGGCCATCATTGTCACTGCCATGTGTCCTGTCCACCTGACCTGTGTTCACAGCATGCTGAGACACAGGAGAGAGTGTTCATCCTAACTCTGGCCAGGTAACCCAGAGTGCACGGCCTGAACTGAACCTCAATGTCCACTCAGGAAAGTTTGTGTTCAGGACAGACATATGAGGGAGGGGGAAAGGCCACTTCTGTTTACAAGAGGCAGAGTAGGTGGCCCTGGTGTGGCTCTGTGGGAGCTCCGGTAGCACACGCGGGCCTGCTCCAGGCCCGGCCCTCAGAGGACCATGAAAACAGGCCCAAACAAACAAGCCACCAAAGCAGCCTATAACCCAGCACTCAGGCAGGGACCCCAGGGCTTGTCTGGCCAGTGAGATCCCAGGGTGCCCTAACCATGGGGCTTTATTTTATTTTATTTTATTTTGACATCAGTTATTTTTATTTTAAAGAAAGAAAAAAATAGTGGTACAAAATCTCATAACAAGACTTTAGGAGAGTAACAATGGTTAGTACATTGTGTATTGTTATTGCCAAAGTAGTTTCTCTTATTACAAGATATAGGCAAAAATAATAAGCAAACAACATAGGTATAAACCTCTGTTTTTTTTTTAAGTCAACAGAAAATGGAAATATACTTTTTAAAGTTTCTAATAGTAGGAGAAGATATCATACAATGTCTTTTTAAATAAATTGTAAGTCCAAGATACAGTATAAATCTTAGAACAAAAATTAAGATTAAGCAATATTCAGAAAATTAAATGTTTCAAAACAATTGA